CTATTTATGTTTTTTTTTTCTCTTTTGGACTAACTGGTGGTGCATGCCTGTAATCCCAGCTACTCAGGAGGCTGAGACAGGAGAATCGCTTTACCCGGGAGGTGGAGGTTGCGGTGAGCCGAGATCCTGCCGTTGCACTCCAGCCTGGGTGACAGAGCAAGATTCCATCTCAAAAAAAAAAAAAAAAAGAAATAAAAAAAGAAGAAAGGTAGCAGAAATTCTGTGAATGAGTTATTAAGTTCAAAAATGAGGATGCTCAATATAATCCATAGGTTCAGAAAAAAATTACGATGAAAAGAGTTGTCAAATTTTGTAACTGATACTTGACCTGGTTAAATTTGAATTATTTCTAATTCCCTATGCAGTGAGATAAAAGATAAATATTGTATGTGACATATTCATCATAAAATTATTTGTTGTTTATCTGAAATACATTCTAAATTAGGAGTTCCCAACCCTGGGGCCACAGATGAGTACTATGGCCTGTTAGGAACGGGGCCATATAGCAGGAGGTGAGTGGCAGACGAATGAGCATTGCTGCCTGATCTCCGCCTCCTGTCAGATCGGCCGCAGCATTAGATTCTCATAGGAGTGCAAACCCTATTGTGAACTGCCCATGAGAGGGATCTAGGTTGTATGCTCCTTATGAGAATCTAATGCCTCTGAAACCATCTGCCCCCACACCCCTCTCCCTTATCCGTGGAAAAATTGTCTTCCACAAAACCAGTCCCTGGTACCAAAAAGTTTGGGGACCACAGTTCTAATGACATAACTCTTTCCCTGATAATTTGCCTGTACTTAACAATGCCTTGTTTTATAGAATTTGCTCACAGAATTCCTGCAGTTACAGTCCTGATGCCATTTATGTTGTGATAAACCTTCATCATTCGTCATATTCAACTTATTTCATTCCTTTATCTATTGGACATTCATTAATGAGAAACACACTCAGCGGTAGCATTCTGAGCCTAAAGACTCATGATGATAAACAGTGTAGAAAACATTACAAACTCTATTATAATTATCCTACCATCTCCATCTGAATTTAACAAAAAAGTGATTTTGTCTCTTTCTTTGGAACTAGTTGAGATTAGGGGCGTGAGCCACCACACCCGGCCAGATCATATTCTTAAACTGTGTCCAGGTCTTAATTCATAATTAGCAATAACACAGTTCACTGCCATCAAAAATAAAGATTAATGTTACAGTTGCCCTGGAAATAAGAGGCACTGCACACCACACAGGCCACAAGAAACCTTGTTACATACAGAGACCAGAAAGCAGAAAGAGAAAAGAGAGTAACTGGAACTATGTCTTTATAACTAAAGTGGCAGAGAATGATGTAGAGATATCATCAATGGGCAGGAAGGAAAAACACATTTTAGTGTTTGTGGTTGGGGGGTTTTATATGAGTTTCATGCACTTTAGTAAGTGGCTTGCAAGAAAAAAAGTAAACAACTTTGGTTCTATTAGTTTGACCCTGTGATTAATGAATATCAAATAGACAAATATGGAATCTACAGAACAGTTCTATATACACATAGCAGCTGGGAAACCTATTCCCAGTGTGTCCCATGCACCTGTCATGAATCTGAAACCCAGTACATATGTGCTCATTGAACATTTACTAGATAAGTAAATACACATCATCACACAGCTTCTCTATTCATTTTTATCATGTGGCAAGTCTTTCACTTTATCATCTGTACTTACCCCTCTAAGCAGTCAATGAGCAATGTTTTCAAGTATGTAAAAAAATTACATTTTGGAAACAAAAGCATAGCGTGTCCAAGTGTCCAGCATAGCCACAGGCTCAACTTCATTCTCTGACTTCTCAGAATTTGCTGTCTCTCACTCAAACATCATTGAGATCTTATCTTTTTCTCACATCACAGATGGATTTTTCTAGGGCTATTTATGTTTTTTTTTTCTCTTTTGGACTAACCTACATAATTACTAATAGATTTCAGTAATTTTTTTATTTCACAAGTGTTTTTCACAGATAATTTCAACTCCCTGTGCAAATACGGTTGTAAACACAGGTGAAATTTTAAATCACTTCTGAGGAAGAAGATAACATCAAGGAATTCCACACCTTTTTTGAGGATAAGATGTGCATATGCTTCAACTATGAAAATGGTAGACAATGTCGTGTCCAGAAATGGCATGTATCAGCTGCTCTTGAGAAATAAAAGTAAAATTCTAAGCACCCCCTAACTAACTGAATGGATGCCCTCTTGACCATGAGAACCCTAGAATAACTTTGGAAGCTGAATTCACCACTATAGAGGAATGAGAAATCAGACACACCTCATTATATCCCCTACCTCACTACAATCATTAGGTTTTCTTCCCTAAGGCTACATAGAAATCAGCCTTTTCAGAAGACTACTAGCTTATCTTCCAAGGTACAGAACAGAGAGAAGATGAGATTATTCATTCCTTCATCCTTCTCTGAGACATCTGCTTTCTCTATTCCCTTTTCCCCTCACGTGTTTACTCTATCTTATGTAAAATGTAGATTTACTGGGCACTAACTAAAGTTTCACATGTCTGTAATCATTTGTCTCACTGCCAACCCCTCTTCCTTTTTAAAGAAAATGTATAATAAATACTAAAACTCCTAAGAACCTCTTTGGAAAAATCAATCACAGATGCTTCTGTGACTTACATTTTTCTGGATGTGCCTTTAGGCTGGTCCAGTAAACCTCCATGATTTTTGACTTATGCTTCAATCACTCATTTTGGTCATCACTCTCATTTTCAGATAGGATTGTGATTCTTAAAATAAATGGAAAATGTATATCAGATATGAAGTAGTAAGTATTATTAGAATAAAAGCGTTGTACCCTTCATAGGAACACAATCGCTGACTCTACAGTCAGGTAAGATGTCCTCTCTTTGATCCAGAGGCATAGCTTCACCCTTTCAACCTACTTCAGTGCCTCCTGCCATCCTTCCTACAAATTCCAGTCCATAGCCCTAACTGTGTAGTCTGTCTGTCTTCTTCTGGACCAAACATATTGAGGCTTACTAAACAGACTCCAAAGCGTAACTGTATGTGTATTTGAAAAGCAACAATATGGCTGACAGGCATGAGTAGAGACCGAGTGCCTTTATGGTATGGGGTGTCTCTTCGGACGTGTAGTCATTGGGAATTAGCTGTGCTTAATAGAGTCTTAAATAATAAGTTGCTAACATTTCTGTAAATATCCTACACTACACTACAAAAAAATACCGTGTGTTGCCTTTAAGAGCAAGCCAAGCCCCCTCCTGTCTTTGGAGTCGGGGACTCCGTTTCCCAGCTCCCCTGACAGTGCCACTGGGCCTTTATCTGCCATATAAGGACTGATCCACGCTCTAAGACAAGTCCGGAAGCGGTGTCGAAACTTCATAACCCAGAAGACACTGCAGCGCTCGGCGGCACGACTTACCCAATAAAGGTTTAGAAGGTGACAGTTGCGGGCGTGCGTGCGCACCGTCGGGGGGCGGGACTTCCGTCGTCCTCCTGGTGGTGGTCGTTCTGGTTCTCTCTGGTGTTTCGCTAGGTCCGGCCTATGGCGCTCTCTGACGTCACCGAAGTGACGGAGCGGAAAAGCGCGAGAAGCGGCTTGGTTCCCACCGCGGAGAGGCGGGAGTGAGTCAACTGACAAGCGCTGGGAACGGCGGTGTCCTTGTCTTGCCTTTGTCGCCCCCGCCCCGCTCTTCCCTGACTGGGCTGGCGGAGGCCTTGCTGATGAACCTGACTGAGGTGGGTGCCCCGTCGCAGGCTTCCCCGCCTCCCCGTGCTGAAGCCCCTAGAAGGGGCCCTGCCGGTCAGGCCCCTTGTCCCGAAGAGAGGGGCGTTCCTGTGTGGGGTCCCCGTATCAGCCGGTTTGATGCAGCCTCAGAGCTCCCTTCGGGGACCTCAGGTTCAGGGCACGGAGGTGCTGCCGAGTGCGCTGTGTGGGGGCGCCCGGGGTGTGTGTGGTTTGTGCGGGAAAGAGCGTTTTGTGAATTCTCGCTTGGAATGGCAGCCTAAGCAGCCAGTAACCGTGGAGGGTTGTCGAGGGACGGACAGTTGGAGGGGCAGGTCCAGAGTTCGAAGTTTCAAGTTAGGAAAACCGGGCTAGGAATGGATGGATACAGGGAGACCGGCGAAAAGGCCCTGAGGCCACTGCAGTAGACCCAGGAGAATTGTGGTTGGGGCTGGACCAGTGACAGGAGAGGGAGATGTGATGAGATTCTTCATAGGCCTGAAGGATAGGGCCGGTAGGTTTTCCTGGTGCTTCAGTTATGTCTGAACAAAGGCAGTGAAGAGCCGTTTCAAGTGTTTTTTTTTTTTTTTTTCTGTTTAAACGTTGGAAAGAATGGAGTTGGGGAAGTCAGTATAAAGAGTAGATTTCCGGGAGACGATCACAGGTTGGATTTTGGACAGGATGGTTCTCAAATGTCTCAAGATGGATATGTCACACAGGCAGGTGGACATAAAGGTGTGGAGTCTGAGGAAGGGGATTGGGTTGGCCATACCAGAGGGATGGAGGGCGTGGACTGGGCCGGAGCATGGTCTGGGGATCAGATTGAGTAGGAAGGTCTCGGGGGTTTTCGTTTGTTTGTTTGCATAAATTTAAGGACTCAAGTGGAGTTTTGTTACATGGATATATTGCATAGTGGTGAAGTCTGGGCTTTTAATGTATCCATCGCCTGAATTATGTACATTTCTCATCACCCATCTTTGTCTCATCCTTCTACCTGTTTGGAGTCTCCAGTCTCTGTCGTTCCATACTCTGTGTCCATGTGTACACATTATTCAGCCTCCACTTATAAGTGAGAACATTTGGTATTTGACTTCCCCCCCACCCCCAGGCGGAGTCTCCCTCTGTAGCCCAGGCTGGAGTGCAATGGCGCGATTTCGGCTCACTGCAAGCTCCGCCTCCCGGGTTCACGCCATTCTCCTGCCTCAGCCTCCTAAGTAGCTGGGACTACAGGCGCCCGCCACCTCGCCCGGCTAATGTTTTGTATTTTTAGTAGAGGCGGGGTTTCACCGTGTTAGCCAGGATGGTCTCGATCTCCTGACCTCATGATCTGCCTGCCTCGCCCTCCCAAAGTGCTGAGATTACAGGAGTGAGCCACCGCGCCCGACCGGTATTTGACCGTCTGTTTCTGGTTTGTTTCATTTAATAATGGCCTCCAGTTCCATCCACATTGCTGTAAAAGACATAGTTTCATTCTTTTGTGTGTGTGCGTGCGTGTGTGTGTGTGTGTGTCCCAGTGGTATTACCTTGTGTATATATATGCCCCATTTTCTTTACCCAGTCATACATTGATGGACAGTTACGTTAATTTCCTATCTTTGCTATTGTGAATAGTACTGTGATAAAAATACATGTATGTTTTTTATATAATGATTTCTTTTCCTTTGGGTAGATGCCCAGTAGTGGGATTGGTGGATTTAATGGTAGTTGTATTTTCAGTTATTTGAAAAATCTTCATACTGTTTTCCATTGAGGTTGTACTTATTTACATTCTCACCAACAGTGTATAAGCTTTTTCTTTTCTCCATATCCTGGGCAACATCGGTTATTTTTTGACATTTTAATGATAGGCATTCTTACTGGTGTAAGGAGATACTGTGGTTTTAATTTGAATTTGTCTGATGATTAATGATGTTGAGCATTTTTTATATGTCTCTTTGCCATTTATATGTCTTTTTTTGAAAAATGTCTATTAATGTCCTATGCTTACTGTTAATGAGGTTTTTTTTGTTGTTGTTTTATTTGTTTGTTGTTGAGTTCTTTGTAAATTCTGGATATTAATACTCTGTCAGATGCATAGTTTGCAAATATTTTATCCCATTTTTCAGGTTGTGCATTCACTTGGTTGATTAGTCTTTTTGCTATGCAGAAGCTATTTAGTTTAATTAGGTCCTATCTGTCTACTTTTCTTTATGTTGTTTGTGCTTTTGAAGTCTTATTCATGAATTTTTTGCCTAGACCATGTCCAGAAGGGGTTTCCCTGGGTTTTCTTTTCATATTTTTAGTTTCAGGTCCTACATTTAAATCTTTAATTCATCTTGAGTTGATTTTTGTATATGGCAAGAGAAATTGGTCCAGATTCATTCTTCTTCATCTGGCAATCCAGTTTTCCCAGCACCTTTTATTGAAAAGTGTGTCCTTTCCCTAGTGTACGTATTTGTTGCCTTTCTCAAAGATCAGTTGGCTATAGATATGTGGCTTTATTTCTAGGAACTTTATTCTCTTCCACTGATCTATGTGTCTTATTTCTGCAGTCAAATGCTTTACCATTGAGCTACACTCCCTATGTGCCTATTTCTATACCATTACCATGCTATTTTGGTTACTACCAACTTGTAGTATAATTTGAAGTCAGATGGACTTAATTTGAGGGAAATCTTGGGGTTGTCATTTCAGGTGGGCTCTGTGGTGAGAGAGCAGAGGGCTGAGACTTGGGGGCCAGACCATTGGTGGCTCCACAGACATCATACTCTGTCCAGAAAGGCACAGACCTGGCCTAACAGGGATTCTGGATTGTATCTGTAAAAAGGGAGGCCTGGACTGGGTAAGCAGACAGCCTGGGATGGAGGCTGAGGTGTGAGATGGTTTCGATTCTGCATCTGCAGGCTTGGTTGACCCTCAGGGCCACTCTCTGTTGAACAAGAGAAATGTTACTGAGGCTGGTGGAGTAGCTGGGTTCCAGACCAGAGCACTGCTTTTTCCCCTTCTCTACATGTAAGGGCAAAAGGCGATGATCTGCTGCTCCAGCCAAGGTCTCCTGGCAAGCTCACTTTAGAAGATTCTGCAGCAGGTAGACCTGGTTGCAGAAAGGACCAGTACCTGACCTGCCTTCTCTTCCCCTCTCTATAACTCATTAACTTAATAATGTACGAAACACATACTGATTTAAACTCTAATTAGACAATATCTTTCTAAGTGTGTGCAAACAGGTAGGCAGTTAATAGTGAAGTTATTAAGTTAAATTTCCAAAAGTGGTTCATAATTGGTTTGATGTTAATTTATCTCATTTGCTTTCCATGGAAAAATTTAATATCACATCCTCTAAAATCTTAAGCTAAAAACATACATGAAAATTTCAAAACCCCACTATTTCATTTGTATTGAACACATGTACAAAAGCATTAATTCGTGGACCCTAGCAGCTGATATATGGTATATGCTACTGATGTTTGATACTAACATGAGCCTTGTGAGGGGGCAGCTATTCTTACAATCTATTTACAGATGGGGACACTGAAGCTCAGGTGGGTTCAGTTCTTTTCCATGGTCACAGAGCTGCAGCACTGAGGCCTGAGGAACTTTATGCGATGAATTGAGATCAGTTTGCTCCCAGGCAGAGCAGAAGAGGTGGCGGTCCATCTCAGCCTGTAGGATCCTTCCATGGCTGTCCATTTCTCATGGCCTTTCTCTTCCCTCAGGGTCCCCTAGTGATGGCAGAAACGGACCCTACACAGGTGAGTAGAGTGCTTCCTACCGTCCACCCACTCCGGTTATCTCCCAGATGGTTTTGGCAGGTGCCAGAACCTCTTTTCCTGTCTTTCTCTTACGTCTGAAGAGTGGGTGCTTTCACCAGTTTCAGTATTGTAAGTGGATGCTGGGTTACATGGACTGGTCCCCGTTTTTGAGAATTGATCTGATAAGATATGTTAGGGCCTCCTGGGCACAGGATTCAGAATGTTTCAATGTTTGGAGGAGAGACTGAGCTGGATTTTTGGGGAACTGCAAGTGTCTGTTACATCTGGTAGGAATAGCGAGCAGAGTGGGAGGTGGCTAGAGACACACGAACATCAGGCCTGGAATGACAGCCTAGGTCCTGGGTCTCTATTCTAAGGGAAGTGGGAGGTGGGGAAGATTTAAAGCAAAAGAGGTAGTGATAGGACCCTAGTTTAAGGGACTTCCTTTGGCTTCTGAGTAGAGGACAGACTGGAGGTGAGGGTAATGGCAGGGAGATCTGAGAGGATGCTCCTGCAGAAGTCTAGGTAGATGTTGGTGGTGGCTTGTCAAGAGTGGTCATAGCTTCAGTTTTAACTAGAGCTGCCCACATTTTATGATGTAGAGAGTGAGGGAGCTAGGGAGGTGGGATGGAAGGGGAATCAGAAGTGGCCCCATGGTTTTTGTTTGGAAGCATAGATACTCCATCAGCTAAAATGGGAGAAGTCAGCAGTAGAAGGAATTTTCAGAGTGAGTATGAGGAGTCAGTGTTTATTCAGGCCACAGATGTCTCAGAGACTCCTGGTGGAGGAGTTCAGGTTGGAAACGTCCACACCACAGTGGCTGTCGTATGGACCAGGATGAAGCCGTGGATTCAGTTTAGGTGACAGCATCTCTAGGTTATGGTGGCAGTGCTGTTTGACGATAGAGAATTGGAATGGGGCATGAGACCTGGGTCTCTTACTGGGTACGTGTGTGGTGGGGGGGAGTCACTAGACAAATGAGGGAATGGAGTGTTTGTGGGGATGAGTGTATGTGAGATGGTGGGGTATAGGAGTGAGAAAGGCTTCTGAAGGAAAGTGGACATGATGGGGTTGATGAGGGGGTAATAGGGTGAGGTTGGAGAGTTGCTAAGCATCAGTTGGATTGAGGTGAGCATGGGAGTTGTATTAGTCCATTTTCATATTGCTACAAAGAACTACCTGAGACTGGGTAATTTATGAGGAAAAGAGGTTTAATTGGCTCACAGTTCTTTTTCTGTTGTTTGTTTATTTTTGAGATGTGGCCCAGGCTGGAGAGCAATGGCATAATCTCAGCTCACTGCAATCTCTGCCTCCCACGTTCAAGTGATTCTTCTGCCTCAGCCTCCTGAGTAGCTGGGACGACAGACTCACGCCACCACGCCCAGCTAATTTTTGTATTTTTAGTAGAGATAGGGTTTCACCATGTTGACCAAGATGGTCTTGATCTCCTGACCTCGTGATCCACCTTCCTCAGCCTCCCAAAGTGTTGGGATTACAGGCATGAGCCACTGTGCCTGACCCATAGTTCTTTAGGCTTAACAGGAAGCATAACTGGGAGGCCTCAGGAAACTTACAATCCTGTGTCCATGAGGCAGGACACAGCTGAGAGTATGTGAAGTCCTCACATGGTTTGTTTGGGCACCTGACAGTGAAGTGAGAATCAGGGCGATGTGGGGAAACTTCAGAGCAGGGCTTTGGGCTGCCCCCAGTGCTAGGGGACTTTGGTGTTCTGGGGCAGGCCTGGGAGCGAACTGGATGCTGAGCATATTTGCCTGCACCACCTGGTTTCCGTGTGCAGAGTGGCCTGTTAGGAGGTGAAGGAAATGCCTGTGGTGTGGGCTGGGAGGTGTCTGTGGAATTGACAGGAGTGGAGGTGTGAGAGCTGGGATTGGAGTGCTGACCAAAGACTGATGTTTAAGCAGGAGGAGTGTGAATGGAGGCCCCAGGCCCTGCCCCTGGTAGCTCAAGGGAGGAGGATGAGTCTGAGTTTGGTTGTCTTGGGAGGCAAGATCTGGGTGACCCCATGGACTCTGGCTGGCGGGAGAGGATGGATCCCCCCATGGGAGGCCCACATTCTAGATGGTACTTGTCTACCTTGTCCTTCATGTGGTTTCTCTGTGTGCTGGACACGGTGGCCAATGGAAATGGGGAGAGAAAAATCACTCATGCCACCTGGATGTGGTGTCTCTTCCACACTGGGAGGGTGTGGAGGAGATTGAGCAAGGAATGGAGGTAAAGGGGAGAGGGATGAGATCCTGGAGAGAGAAATGTAGCAGTCATTTCACCCATAGGGTTTTAATTTAGGGATGTGAGTGAGTGATGCCAGGGACAGGCCAATGACACTGAAAGAAGATATGTATTCCTTGCATTTCCCTAAGGAGGGTGCACACCACATAACACAGGGCCACATGGTGAGGCCCCAGATTTGGTTAGGAGAAAAATTGGAGTGAGGGGAAAGTTTAGTTTAGTCCACAGACGCTCTTGGGGTTTCCAAGGAAAACAAGGCAGGGCTGGGTGTCAGGATAGTTTGGCTAGTTTTAGTAATTCCAGGACACGTGGGCTATTGGGACTATCCCTAGTTGAGCAGTACCTGTCCCTGGGTTGATTTAGAACATGGGAAATATTGGCTTGTTTGAGAAAGTTAGAGACGGAGGTGGTTCCGAATATGTGCCCAGGATGGTAGGGGAGATGGAAACACATTTGGCTGTTAGTTTGTCCCTGTGTTTAATGGGTGGTAAATATAAGTAGAAAATAAATAGAGAACGTAAGTAAATACAGCTTGAAAAGAAGCTGCTCATGTATTCATCTCTCCCAATTTGGCAGGGCCGTGTGGTCTTTGAGGACGTGGCCATATATTTCTCCCAGGAGGAGTGGGGGCACCTTGATGAGGCTCAGAGGTTGCTGTACCGCGATGTGATGCTGGAGAATTTGGCCCTGTTGTCCTCACTAGGTAAGGCCCTCACTCTTGCCCAGTGTCCCGGTTGGGCTGTGTTGTCCCTTTTTACCCAAATGCAGCTCTTCGTTTCCCACAGTGACACCGTGGGTGCTGCTTCTTTTCCCTGTTTCTTGGCATATATGCTGTGGGAGGCAGGGCTAGGCTGTGTGTTCTATACCCCCTTTTTCCTAGCGTCCCCATCCCTGCTGCTCTGAAGCTTACAAGAAAGGGCTCAGGAACCCAAAATGTTGAATTTTGCATAGAGACCCCACCAGCCTTGTCTGTCCCTGATCAGGTTACTCTGTGCAAAGACATGAGACCTGTGTTCTGTTGTCCCCTTTCTCTCGCTGCTATTTCTTGGTGCCTTCCTGTGCTTGGAATTTCAGGCACTGCCCTGGTCACTATTTTTGGGGACTACTGGGTTAATTGTGCAGGACACAGGACTCTTATGTGAAGTTCTTAGGATTGTAGAATGTGGGATGCCATGGGCTCGATCTCTCTGGGCATGTGCTGTTTACTCTTTTTCTCTTTCCCCTAGAGAGGGCCCTAGGCACCTGAGAGGGTGGCTAGTACTTCAACAATGGCATTGGAGGCTCAGGGACATGGTCCTGGTGCCTGGGAGTTGGGAAGAGGGTTGATGTCACAGCTGGGGTCAAATCACCCTGGGAACCCGTCCTGTGCCCACCATTGTGTGCTGTCAGGGCCACTGGCCACAAATTTCCACCTTTTCTTCCCCATTATCATTTCTAGTATGATTGCTGGCCCCTGCACCTCCAATGCCCCACAGTCTGTACTTCTGGGGCCACCACCCCTCACCCATTCTTTTCCACTGCTCCCTTTGAATGCCTGCCAACATGTGACCTGTATTTAAGGTAGCGTGAAGTCTGCATGTATCCGTGAACACCAGCTCCTCTGTCACAGTCTGATCTCTCTGGGTTTGGAGAGAACCTTCTACACACTGCTTTCCAGTCTCCAGCAACCATGGCCTGTTGATGACTGTGTGCAGAGGAGTTAGTTGGAGATCCTGCCTTCTCTCTCTGTACCGTATCCCTCCTTTGTATGCTTACCATCATCAAGGCTCTCCCATTATGGGCCCTCGCCAGGCCCAGTCCTACATAGTGGACCCTCCTCTCACTGGCCTTAATGTCCATGATGTCCCCAGTCCCATGGCCTTATTTGTGTGTGTGCCTGACACACATTGTGATGGAGCCGCCTTCTCCACCAGAGTCAGCATGCACTTCACCCACATTTCTGTTCTGACAGGTTGTTGGCATGGAGCTGAGGATGAGGAGGCACCTTCACAGCAAGGTTTTTCTGTAGCAATGCCAGAGGTTACAACTTCAAAGTCCTGTCTGTCCACCCAGAAGGTCCACCCTAGTGAGACATGTGACCCACCCTTGAAAGACATTCTGTGCCTGGTTGAGCACAGTGGAATTCATCCTGAGCAAGACATATATATTTGTGAGGCAGAGCTTTTTCAGCACCCAAAGCAGCAAATTGGAGAGAATCTTTCCAGAGGGGATGATTGGATACCTTCATTTGGGAAGAACCACAGAGTTCACATGGCAGAAGAGATCTTCACATGCATAGAGGGCTGGAAGGACTTACCAGCCACCTCATGCCTTCTCCAGCACCAGGGCCCTCAAAGTGAGTGGAAGCCATACAGGGGCACAGAGGACAGAGAAGCCTTTCAGACTGGACAAAATGATTACAAATGTGGTGAATGTGGGAAAACCTTCACCTGCAGCTATTCCCTTGTTGAGCACCAGAAAATCCACACCGGAGAAAGGTCTTATGAATGTACCAAATGTGGGAAATTCTTTAAGTACAGTGCCAATTTCATGAAACATCAGACAGTTCACACTAGCGAAAGGACTTATGAGTGCAGAGAATGTGGAAAATCCTTTATGTACAACTACCGACTCATGAGGCATAAGCGAGTTCACACCGGAGAAAGGCCTTATGAGTGCAGCACATGCGGGAAATTCTTCCGGTACAGCTCCACATTTGTTAGACATCAGAGAGTCCACACTGGAGAGAGGCCGTATGAGTGCAGGGAATGTGGCAAATTCTTTATGGACAGCTCCACGCTCATCAAACATCAGAGAGTTCACACCGGAGAAAGACCTTATAAGTGCAATGACTGTGGGAAGTTTTTTAGGTACATCTCTACACTCATTAGACATCAGCGAATTCACACTGGAGAAAGGCCTTATGAGTGCAGTGTATGTGGGGAATTGTTTAGGTACAACTCCAGCCTCGTTAAACATTGGAGAAACCACACTGGAGAAAGGCCTTACAAATGCAGTGAATGTGGGAAATCATTTAGGTACCACTGCAGACTCATTAGACACCAAAGAGTCCACACAGGAGAAAGGCCTTATGAGTGCAGCGAATGCGGGAAATTCTTTCGTTACAACTCCAACCTCATTAAACATTGGAGAAACCACACTGGAGAAAGGCCTTATGAGTGCAGAGAGTGTGGGAAAGCCTTTAGCCACAAGCATATCCTTGTCGAGCACCAGAAAATCCACAGTGGAGAAAGACCTTACGAGTGCAGCGAATGCCAGAAGGCCTTTATTAGAAAGTCTCACCTGGTTCATCACCAGAAAATCCACAGTGAAGAGAGGCTTGTGTGCTCCATGAGTGTGGGGAATTCTTTAGCTAAAACTCCAACCTCATTAAACGTCAGAGATTTCACAATGGAGAAAGTTTACCATTGACTATTGTAATTGGGTAGTAATGTTTTTTTTTGTTTTTTTTTTTTTTTTTTGAGACGGAGTCTCGCTGTGTTGCCCAGGCTGGAGTGCAGAGGCCAGATCTCAGCTCACTGCAAGCTCCGCCTCCCGGGTTTACGCCATTCTCCTGCCTCAGCCTCCCGAGTAGCTGGGACTACAGGCGCCCGCCACCTCGCCCAGCTAGATTTTTGTATTTTTTTTGTAGAGACGGGGTTTCACCGTGTTAGCCAGGATGGTCTCGATCTCCTGACCTTGTGATCCGCCCGTCTCGGCCTCCCAAAGTGCTGGGATTACAGGCTTGAGCCACCGCGCCCGGCCTTGGGTAGTAATGTTATATAAATTCCACATTTTTATGCAACTAATCTCCAGAACATTTTTCCTCTTGCAAAAAAAGTAAAATGCTGGACCCATTAACAACAACTCATTCCCCTTCCCTACTTCCCCAGAAATGTCTCAACTATATTTCTATACTCTATGTCTATGAATTTGATATCTATTGGTACCTCATGTAAGTGGATTCATACAGTATTTATCTTTTGAGACTGGTGTATTTCACTTAGGATAAGGTCTTCACAGTTCACCCACGTTGTATAATGTGTCAGAATATCCTTCCTTTTTTAGGTGAAAAAATATTCTGTGCTGTTTATATACTACATTTTTGTTTCGTTACAACTCCAACCTCATTAAACATTGGAGAAACCACACTGGAGAAAGGCCTTACAAATGCAGTGAATGTGGGAAATCATTTAGGTACCACTGCAGATCACCCTGGGAACCCGTCCTGTGCCCACCATTGTGTGCTGTCAGGGCCACTGGCCACAAATTTCCACCTTTTCTTCCCCATTATCATTTCTAGT